ACCTAAATTACCCAGGCTATTGCCAAGGCTGTTGGTTGCTCTACACAACTGATGGGAAGGTCTTACTGTTGAGGACAACACCCACATAAATCACTGAACGTGGAGGAATTGAGCTGGTGCCTATGTAGAGCCTTCACCCTTCTGAATAGCAGTGTTAATCCTGGAAAGTACTCTGTGCCCTGCCAGAGGAAAAAGTTAAACACCAACCCACCTACAAAACCTGCTGTAGGCACAAGTTTCTGTCCTGCACTCTGCTCCCAAATAACTTCTCAGAGGCTTAATATTAATTACAAATGCTGGGCCTATAGCTCAGGCTTGTTGAAAGTTAACTGTTACTTCTAAATGAACCCATATTTCTTGTCTGTGCTTTGCCACTTGGTAACTTTTCTCAGTATAGCATGTCCATCTTCTTCTCTCTGCATCTGCTCAAGACTCCAGCCCTTCCTCTTCACAACATTCTCTCTATCTCAGGTCACCTCACCCAATCTCTTTCTGCCCAGATATAAGCCAATCAGCTTTTTATTAACAATGAAAATAATGCATATTTACAGTGTAAAGAGATTGTTTCACAGCATTTCCCTATTTTCATCTAATTAAAAAAGAGTATTTTAACTTTAACATAGTAAAATTATATACAACTAAAACTGTTATCAGGTATGAATTATAGTTACAATATTAGTCCATTTGTATTTTGTAAAATCAGAGAAAATAATCTATCACATATCTTATCTATGTGAGTCTAAAGTTTTATACCTAATTTACCTTTTATCAAAACTAAGGAAGGCTATAAGTTTAACTATTTAGTCTTTAACTCCATCAAAGATCCTAGAAGTATGAAATGTTACCTAACAACAGGGATGTCTGACTTCCTGGACAGTCACCCAAATTTCTTCTGTAACATTGGGGCCTCCACCTTTGCCCTTTGGCCTGGTATATCTAACAGACATTTCTGAGAAGCAGGGAAGTTTGAAGGAGTCTTCTACCTAACTTTTGCAATTTTGGGCTGTCATTTTCTTTTCTGTATTGCTTTTGTGTTTTGTAACAGTTTGCCTTCAATAATTGAAGCAAGTGTTTGCATGTCTTTTGTATGCTGTTAAATGTGTTATTCTGATTGATGGATAAATAAAATGCTAATTGGCCAATAGCCAGGCAGGAAGTATAGTGTAGGCTGGATAAGCAGCGAGGGGAATTCTGGGAGGTGGAAGGCTGAGTCAGGAGATGCTGCCAGCAGCCGCCACTATGAGAAGTAAGCTGTAAAGTACACATAGAAGTAAGCTGTAAAGCCAGAAGCCATATGGCAACTTAAAGATTAATAGAAATTGGTTAATTTAAGAAGTATGATCTAGCTAGCAAGAAGCCTGCCATGGCCATACAGTTTATAATTAATATAAGTCTCTGTGTGTTTACTTGGGTCTGGGCAGGACTGGAGAACACTCTAGCTATAGGCAAGGGCAGTTTATGCTCAAATGACTAGATTTTGCCATATAGAAAAACTCCATACAGATCTTCCTTGATGCCCATCATCTTCTTTGGATGTAAATTGGGGATGTCTTGAGCAGATGTGTCTCATTGTCATGAAAAGCCTTAGGTAATTAAACATATTCAATACTATATTCTGTAGGTCTTTGAAGTATTTAAGACTATCTATCTATCTAAATAAAACTCTGTATTACCTTGAAAACATACCTCACATGACTGTAAGTTTGACTATTATAGATTACTAACTACTAACCTGTATTTCTTAATTATACATTATATTTTTAAATGAGCTATATAAGCACAATACTCTAAACAAGAGCAGAAATATACATACAGCATAACAAAATTAACTTTAAATTTGTATCAATATACCAAAATTCATACCAATGTAAAATATTTAAGACTACTAATTGCTTTTTAGGTTAAAAATAGATTTAACAATCTTTTTATCCTATCATTTCTATATAGAGAGATATCTTTGTGCTTAACTCTTTTGTTATACTTTTTAAAACTATGACCAATAACAACCAGTATCTAACCTCCTTTAAATTATAATGAACATCCATAACACATTTATGCAAATATGAGTCATTCTCTAGACTACTTCCTATTGTTTGGTGGTGCTGACATTTGTGAAGGAACCTTGAGAAAATTGGAATAATAATTAAGTCATGGCTGGAGTGTTCTGTGAGGCTGGACCAACTCAGCCAGCAGCCTTGAAGTTGTTCTGGATGCTGGATCATCTGGGCCATCCATTTTTATTGGTGTCTTGTTCCATTCCCTTATTCTGAAAATACATGAATTTTTAAAGGTAACATATATTACATGTATGGTTATGTGGTGTGCTTAAGTCAGTTAAAGATGTTTTTTTTTTGTCTTATGTTTGAGGG